TGCGCATTGAGTTTGGCGAGGGTGTGCTGCTCGCTCTTGACTTGGTTTTTCAAGTTGACCACCTGCTGCAACGTTTTGGCGTGCGCCATGGCTGATGCCTGCGCCCACTCAAACGGGTTGAACTCAAACTCATCGTCTTCTGGAAGGACAATCTCACCCAACGTGACCTACACACATCAGATAAATTTATCTTGGAGAGCACAATGCTGCCCACCTTGATGTTCCCAACGTCCTGACGAAAAGAAAGTTCTAGGTTCTTGTTTTTCAGCGTGTAGACCATGCGAACACCGTCCAAGATGTCGGTCTGGCCGATTTCGCGCTGTTGCTGGAGCAGAAAATGAGACACGACGGCGGCCCACTCGTCGTCGCTGCCCTTGAATTTGTGCTTGAGACTGGCGAGATTGCGGTGCGTGACTGGGGCGCGTCAGATGGCGAAACACAGACGTGCTGTGGATGCTGTCTTACTCGAGGTCACATATGGGGTTTCGCCCTCGCAGCCCACCAATCTGACATCCAGAGGGTGGCTGCCCTGCTGCAGCACTTCGATGACGACGGTCTCGCCGCGGCCATCCGCAGGCTCGACTGGCAAAATATAGCGGCTCGACATCGTGCGATGGTGTGCACAAGCTAGGCGGGACTGCGGGAGGGAGCCCAAGTGGGAAGGTTTGTGATGGTGTGGCCAGGGAGGCTAGTCGCGATAGTGAGAGCGGCCAGGAACAGGTACCGGGTGTTTCACGTGGTAGGGAATCTATTGAAACCGTAACCTGAACCACGTCTACCTGAGACGGCAGGCACGGGAGGTTATATTTGTATGTAGATAGTAATGTCACTCGCGTGGTGGTGGTGCCCAGGTGGGTGGTGCCGTCGCAGGCAGCACCCGCTGGGGTGAAGGACCACTGAAGGTTAGTGTTTGTTGATGTCCAGGCATCCGCCCGGGACGCGAATCGAGCGCGATCCGCACCAGTCGCGCTGATGGGGAGCAGAAACAAACATGGGTGCTATACAGGGCGTGGCATGTGGCGTGGTATATACATAGGCAGTCTCTGGTTGCATTGTTCCTGCATATGTAGGCTCCCACGACAGCTGTACTTCCAGACTCATCGCCGTCATCGTCGCCCTTGCTGCAGGGGTGCCGAGTGTGTTATTCGTACCGACACGCGTGGCCTAGCGTGCGGGCCAGCCTGCAGACCGGCCTTTGTCTACTTACCGCCTTTGTGCTTCGCGTAGCCCTGCAGGAACCTGCAAGCGGTGCCAGACGACCCTCGCCGGCCCACAGCCCAACCACCTCAGTACCTCGCGCGAAGATCCTGCACACCCACCTTACACCGCACCTGCGATATCCGCGCGACAGCTCCACCGAGCATGGCGGCCAACAACCGCTCCTTCGCGGCGCGCATCGCCTCCATCACCTCGCAGTCGACCCAGATGGAGACATGGGACGACGGCGACTTCGACGACCGCTCCGACGGCCTCCTGTTCAAGAACTCGACCGTCCACTCACTCTCTTCGCGCATGAGCGTCCGCTCCGAGACCGAATCCAATGACGACTGGCAGATTCTGATTACGCCAGGCGACCAAGCAACCAACACATCCGCCATCAAGACCGCCGCGAAGCAGGCCGGCATCCCCATCCCCACGAGCGTGCCATCGTCGGCGCTCCTCGGCGGCTCGATCAAGAGGCTGGGCAAGAAGAAGTCGACCAAGAAGATCGAGGTCGACGACGACTGGGGCAACGACCTCGAGCTGCCCACCAATGCGAAGGAAGGACTGAAGCTGAAGGCGCCCAAGCCACGCACGCCGGCGGAAGAGGACGATGACTTCGACTGGGGCGAGGGCTCGCTCGGCATCCGCTTCGCAGGCACGCGACAGGGCACCCGCGGGGCACGCAGCTCGTCCGTGTCCGCCATGAGCCCCAGCCTAGGCAGCATCATGACCATGGAGAGCGAAGACGACGACCTGGGCGGCCTCGTGCTGCCCACCGAGCCCATGGACTTCAGCGCGCGTCTGGACAAGCTCAAGAAAGCCGAGCAACCACCAGCACCACCAGCCGCAGAGCCATCGCTCCTTCCACCACTGCCATTGCGCGAGCAGTCCCTCACGCCGACGCAGTCCACACAAACCACCTCGATCCCTACCCAGAAGCCGTTCCAATCGCCGCCCCAATCGCCCATCGCTGCGCCACTATCTCCTTCCCCCTTCAGCAGCCCCACGCCTATGAGCCCCAAGGCACTGGCACCATCGCCCAAAGCCAAGCCCGTGGTCCAAGAGGAGGACTTCGAGGATGGCTTCGATTTTGGCAATGGCGAGATCCTGGACCGCCAGAAGCTGACGCTCAACAAGAACATTGTCGTCAAGAAGCCCGCGACCAAGACCACCGCCCCACACGCTGCTCGTCCCGCTACTACCATCACCTTCACCGACAGACCCACTACCTCGCGGATACCCAGGCCCCTGCCCTCCATCGCGAGTCGCACCAGGCTTACCCCTGTGTACGAAAGCGGCGCGTCCACTTCCAACTCGACTCGGACCATGCCTACTACTACCAGCGCACAGCTGCTCCGCGCGAAGCGCTCTGCTCCTGTCCTCCGCAACAACAACACCAGTCAGCCACCACGCATGCCATTCCTCCCTGCTGGCGGGGCCTCTTCCCAATCGCACCACGTCATGTCCAAGAGCACTTCGCAAGCCCACCTTCGCCGCGACTCTGACCCTCGCCGACCGCAGTCTCCCTCGATGCGCTCCTACTCGCGCCTGTCTGGCGGTGGCCACAACGAGACGCCTAGTCGTGCTGGGGTGAGACGTGATCAGGCTCCCTCTGCCCTTGCACGTCATCCACCCCCAAAGAAGCTGACACAGCCTCAGCGAAAGCGAAACTTTGGCGACGGCCATGAGCTCGACCTGTTCGATGACTTGCCTACTTCAGCTTCCAAAGAGAAGCAATTCGAAAAGGTGCCGCGCAATGTCGCCAGCAACAAGTCGCTGCGCCACCAGCCGAGCAACTCACGTCTGCCGATGCCTGATCGCATGGCGACGCCTCTGCCCCAGACTCCGCGTAGTCCTCCAAAGATGGACCACACTCCTCGCTTTGCTCGCGACACCGCAGCAAGCAGGAACGCACGTGAGCAGCGCTTGGCAGGTACGAGGTCTCGAGCAGAAGGTCCCATTTCCTCCAGGCCCGTTAGCTGGGCTGCCCAAGTGGCCGCTCGTAGCCCTCATACCAGTCCATCTGCTCACAGGAAGAAAGGCTCAGGACAGAAGCCGCAGTTGATCAGGCAGATGACGCAGCCCTACACACAAAGTACAACATCCCACTATTACTTCCCAGCTCCTACTGACCACTGTGTAGACGAGAAAGGTATGATTTACAACCCAACTTTGCAACGTTGGGAAGGAAACGAGGAAGCTCTTGTTTCGTTCTCACACCCTAATACTTCCACTACGACCCTCGCCCTGACCACGGCGAGCACGCCCACCTTTGCCCCGCCCGGAAACCAGATGAGCCGCAGCCATGATCGTTCACAATCGATCTCGCACATTGCCCTTTCGTCCATTCATGCCGGCCAAGAAAAGAGGAGCTTCTCGTCGCGAGCGGCCAAGCTGGCCCAGCCCCCAGCGCCCGCCCCAGTACCGTCTCCACCACGCCCTGCTTTGATTTCCCAAATCTCTGTTCCACGCCAAGTCCAGTACGAGGGCCGCATGGTGTTCGATCCTGTCAAGATGACCTGGCTCAAGGCGCCTCGACCATCGAACGACATTGGATCGCCTTCAGAAGTAGACGAAGACGAAGACCCATTCGCTGGCCTCGACGACCTCAAAGACAATGAGAGTGTCGCCGGTGGCAATGGCATGGGCGGTACCGGCACACCGAACCCCGATGATCCAACCTTTGTGGGCGAGGAGTTCGATGTCGGCCCTGGCTTCATCCGGCGACAGAAAGACGAAGAAGCCATCTGGCGACGACGCGTCGAAGGCTGGGTTGGCGGCCTTCGCGACAACGGCGAACACCGAGGCGGCTGGCGATGGGCGATCCGCGACTTCGCCGCCAGTGCCTCTGCTGGCCACCCAACCTCTTAACGACCACGACACCACGACACCACGACCTTGTACTATATGTGCACGCACACCCATACTCACGCTCACGATTTTATGATTGCATCGCAGATGATTTGGTCTTTCGGCGCATTTTGCTGGACTATGATCCACAAAAGTAATGAGACGTGCCCTTGGAATGTCTTTGAGATATCCCCCCCTTTGAGTGTTATGATGGGCGTGTTTTGGATAACCGCCTCACTCTTACGAACAACGCATTTAACGACCTTTACGATTGCATTACACATGCTTTTTACAGAAAGAGCTTCGCTGCTCGACTCACACGACACACATGACTATACACGATTTCCTTTGTTATGATCTATATGGCGTTTTGGGTATTGTCTTCACTACATACGAGAGCATCTAATACTATATCCTTGCTCGCTACGAGACGAAATGAATTCTATTATGTTATCAATGTCTTTGTTTGTTGCTTGGTGATGAGACTGGTCTGGTAGAAGCTGCGAAGGCTACGTCATCCATTCAGGGGCATGAATTCACCATCCGCCCAGAATAAACGACCTAGGAGTCTATTGAATGTCCAAGTTTCGAGTAGCTTCCTTCCCTCGATTCTGGTACCGTGATTTCGGTTCCATCTCAACAATGAGCTCGAGCGATCACGTGTTAGGGACGAAGATGCTGCCTAGGTGCTGCCTTGGGCATGGTCAGAGTCGTAAGAATTTCCAATGCGTTGTAACTGTGTCAAGTTTCGTCTTGATGACAACGTGTACTGCCACCTGCTCAGTTTCGCCCTTGCATGAGGTAGCTCGGTGATGTGGCCGCTACTGGAGGCTTCTTTCGGCCCACGGACGGAGTCATAATAGCGGGGTCGCTGGTCACACGCCCAACGTGACCCACTGCCCGTCACACAATCCTGCCGGCCGTCACCGCTCCTCCCACCCTATATCATGTCGCGCTCCAACGATCCAGGTCACTACTTCCAAACGACGTATGGGCTTCCATCCATCTACATCCATCTTCCTTTACTTTAGCTGATAGCATGTAGCTCCTCTCTCGAGGAGACAGCTCGCAAGGCTGCCAAGTCCAAGAACACCAAGGGCAACCCCCTCAAGCTCCCCTCCAAGATCCTCGCACTCACCGCGGACCCGCACGATGGGAATCACATCTACGTTGCCGAAGCAGCCGGCAACGTGAAGCGCATCAACATTGAAGTCGGTCAGACCTCCGTTTCTCAGCCGCCTTGTGGCTTCACTTCAGCTATGAGGTCATCGCTGACAGCTCCCCTTGTAGACTAATAAGGTCGCTGCCACCTTCACAGGGCCCGTTGCCCCTCTCACGTCCGTTGCCGTTTCCCCAAAATCCGACACGCTGTTTGCGGGGTGCTGGGACAAGTCTATCTGGTCATGGACCCTCTCTACGCGCAAGCCCGCCAAGCGCTTCCAAGGCCACAGCGACTTCGTCAAGGCCGTCATAGCATTCACGCTACACGGCAAAGAGGTCATGGTGTCGGCTTCACAAGATGCCAGCATCATCGTTTGGGACGTCGCCACGGGCTCGAAGCTACATACACTAAAGGGACACACACGAGGGATTCTCGCTCTTGCGCTAGACCCGGCCGACTACGAGCCCAGCAAAGAGACTGCTACGATCTTCAGCGCTGGAAGTGACCGAGAGATCAGACGGTGGACCATCGGGCTGACGTCAGCCTCTGAGGTTGAACCGTCGCCCATCATCGCTCACGAGACAAGCATCGACGCCCTACACTTCGATTCAGACGGCGATCTATGGACAGCTTCAGCAGACAAGACGGCCAAGTGTCTCTCCAGAGGCCGTGAGTGGGAAGAGGACTCGACATTCGAGCACCCTGATTTCGTCCGCGATGTTGCCATCGACGAGGATGGCGGTTGGCTGGTCTCCGTATGCAGAGACGAAGAGGTTCGCGTGTGGGACAAGAGCAGCGGCAAGCTGCATCACACTTTCAGTGGGCATTTTGAAGAGGTCACTGGCCTTCTTCTGCTAGGCCAACGCGTGATTAGCGTGAGCATTGACGCTACAGTCAGACAGTGGAGCCTCAAGCCTCAAGAGCTTGCCAAGGCCATCCAAGAGGCCGAAGACGAGCGTCTCGGTAAGGAAGAGGACAAGGAACCCGAGCGCAAAGAGGGCATGATGACAGCGGAAGAAGAAGCGGAGCTCGCTGAACTTCTAGGAGATAGCGATTAGTTTTCGACGAGCGGACCACCGACCGGACTTGTGCTACACCGGATTTCCTGGAATTCGTCGAATGAGCTTGTCCGGTTCAACCGTCCGTCCACCTAGGTAAATTCGAAACGAGACTATAGGCCAAGACAGTCATGAATGTACCCCACCACCATCCGGCCAACGGCTTCCAAGGACGAACACGCCTGGCTTTGCGACTACATGGCCTCCGAGCTTCACGGTGATACGAGAAGTACTACGGAGACTGGCCATGCTCACAGCTCAGTTCTAGCAACACTGTTCGTCTGGCCCTGAAACGGGTCGTCCTACGCCGGATGTGGCATCGGTACCATGGTTGGCTTTCCGCACATTCTCTACACAGAGTAGCTTGGTATTCCCCATTTTCTCCTTTTATGATTGATACGTGGTGCTATTTACTGGTGTCTAGCGTCGTGCCAGGCAACCACCACAGGCACACATACACACCTCGATACGTGACACACCTTCCTTCCAGCAACAGTTTCCTGGCCTTGTTACCCTCACTTCACCGTCTGAGGGATTCTCACACTTCTTTTTCTCCATGCATCACTTTTTTTCGTCGAGCGGCGCTTGATTCCACCTTTTTATCACGCCATCTCATGCCATCCCGACCACATCGCCGCACCATCGACCGCAGTTGCCAGCCGACACCACGATCGATGCCGCGCGATGAGTCCTCCTTCTCCACTCCCTCCTCCGAGTCCTACGAGTCTTGCAAACACCATTGGTGTAGCGGACAGACAGCCATGAGGGGGACGCACAACCTCACGCCAGGGAGTACTCCCCGCCACCGGTGTCGCCTTCTCAGGTTGTCGCGCGTGGAAGATACCAACAGATAGTGGCCTTAGCGCTACAGCAGACGTCAACCGTCCGTGGTTCATTGACGCGAGCGCATGCGTCCCTTTCACGGCAGTCCAAGCATATGTAGGAAGTCAAGGCTTCTCTTACTGTTTCTTGTGCGCGTTGTCGACGAGGACAACCGATGACAGGTCCTCCTTGTTGCTGGCAGGGCATGAGTAACCTTACAGAGACTGTCGAGATACCGGTTGGTAAGCTCCTGATGAGCTGAGGCGCGCAGCTTCTGCTCCGGCATGTTTACGGCGACTGCAGTCGACCGCGATTATTATCACCTTTGGTGTCACACGGACAGAGGAGTCTGTTAGTCAAAGGGAGTATTCCCCGCCGCCAGTGTCGTCTTTTCAGATGTACGAGTGTGGAAGAAGCCTGCGATATCGATGCTTCCTTGGAAGTCTCCGACAGACCTTACGGTCCATGGCATTCTTTTGGCTACAGTCACTTCCTCTCTTCAGGCCTAAACATGTGCGCATGTCATGGCCGAGTCGCCCTCGACCGTAAGCTGGTCTGGGATATGGGTGGGTGGGGGAGGTGGAGGGGAGGCAGCGGGAAAGAGGTAGGGAGGAGGTGGAAACATCGCCTCTCCACCTTTTTCTGGTTCCCTCTTCTTCTGTGTCCTCGCATCTACCCACTTCCCAGACTAGCATGACGGGAGGGTGTACTACTGCGATTGCACCTAAGCTCTCCCTTCACGGTCAGCCATGGCTTGCTTCGCGCTTTTGTGTCAAACTCTTCGGAGTACTTTTGGTCTACCTCATTTTGTGTTCCCGGGTTTGAGACTGGTTTGCTCCTTGTCCTCCTTCCGTTCCTTTTGGCTCGAGTTTGGCTCCCCTACCGATTCGCTCGCCTTACTGGTTTCAGGTAGAGTATCCTTTCCTCACAGGGTGGGTGGAGCAGGCGGCAGGGACAAGGTGGTGAGAATGTGGAAACACGGTCTCACTCAACCCTCTTCTTGCTGCTTCCTTCACCTGCCCGCCAAAAAATGCTTCGCGATGAGAACCTGTCAGCAAGGGAAACGGTTCGCCGTATCCCCGCCACCAGTGTCACCCTGTTCAGGGAGGCGAGCGTGGAAGATGCCTGCGATATGGAGGCTTCCTCGCAGAAGCCTCCGATAGACCGCATGGTCCATGGCAATTTTGCTTACAGGCACCCTCTACCGCATGTCCCCCGATGTCTTGGCCATTGTGCAAATGGGTTGGTCAGGGAGGTGGTGGGCAGGGGACGGGGAGAAGGTGGAAGCACTTCCTTCCATCCTTCTCATCATCTCGTCTTCTTCTGCTGCCTCCTTCATCTCCCCGGCTGCTGCCTTTCCGAGTCCCGCCTTTGAGCCCCGATGTTACATCTTACTTTCGGGTACGCCCGCGCCTTCAGGTACGCCCTGCATCCTTCGGATCTGTCCGCTTCGTTCGAGTTTACCTGCGCCGTCTGGATACAGCCAGCCCGTTTACGTCCATCCGTCCATCCTTCCGTCCGACCGAATACGTTGCCGTCGAGATACCGACACGCGGACTTGTACTGCAGGGAACGTTCGCGTAACCCCGTCGCCAGTGGCACTTTTTTTAGAAGTTGCCGAGTGCGGAAGATCCTAACAGATATTGAGTTCTCCCGGCCTCTGCTCTTGTCTGGAGTAGATGGTTGGGGTTCTCTGACAGACCGTAATGGTCCCTGGCTCAACTTGCATACAAGCACCCGCCTCCCTTCGGAGGACAGTCTCTGTCCTCGCGAATGGGCTGTCGCCGCATGTGTGCGACGGCCTGTTCGTTGGGTGTTCCCGTCCATGCGTGGACTGTTGACAACAGATTGACGGATGGCCCATGGGATTCTCTCTTAGAGAGTCCGTGGGCTAACCGTTGACGACCGATCGACAGGGTCGCGTGGACATTCGTGGAAAAACCTATCGTGTTGAACTTATTGTGTCAAACTTTATCGAGAATTTTATTGGAATCGCCCTTACGGGCACTACAGTGTGGGGGAACGACCGCGAAGGGTCTTTGAGATCCCTCTCGTATCAATGGCTAGTACCCTTTCGTTCGTGTTGCCATCTGATGGCATATCGAACATCCCGTGTTTGGTATCCTGCCCGCGTGCCTGCAAAACACGTTGGTTCGGCCTACCATCACAAAAAACGAAAAAATCGACAAAAAAACATCGAAAAAGTCGTCCTGGACTGTTACTACGCCGGCTTGTTTCTATCTTCTCACTGCCCCTTTACGGATCAGCGGTGCTTAGGTATCCGGTGTGACAACGGTCTCTTCTTTGGTAAACGCAGCCGCTTGCTTCTTTATGGAGTGACTGGGCTTTACCATTCGCCGAGCTCTGTCCTCATCACTGTACGGGATGGGGCGAGGCACCCCCGTGGAATCTACCTGTTGCTCTCGTGTGCGGCGGAGTTTTGACTACGGGGTATGCGTGGCAGACTGCTATCGCGACTTGACCCAGACGACGAATGCTTGTCACGACCTGTTGTTGACGTTTGCTGCGGACGACTTTGTTGTTAGCGGCGAGCTGTCGGCGACGAACTGTAGGCAACTTGTTGTTCGGGTCAGGGAGAAAGCGAGAAAATGTCTCCGGCCTTGCAATGTCGCCTCATCCAGCTGACGGCCCAAGGTCTTCACTGTCTGCGCGCTGGCCACTCTTTTTTGTGGCTTCAGCTGCTGCAACCTAGCGGGGGACTGCTAGCGTGGACTGCGCCGGCTCATCTTTTGAACTGGCCCGGGAGGAAGCGAAAAGTGTTCCGGTCTTGCTGTTTGTTTCCTACTTCGGTCGGGGACGATGAAGCGAGGTGTCCCGCGGTACACGCGTCGCTTCTTTTTTTGTTGCGGCGTTGACTACCTGCGATGTAGCGAGGGGCAGACTGCTATTGCGGACCTGATAACGTTCAACTTTGGTTGACGGGCTTCGGGCAGGATGCAAAGAGTGTTTGCCACAAGGAGAAAATGGGTCGCTGGTGGGCGTGCCAGGCGATCGCAAGAGGGGGACGGGCGGTAGAAGTCGGACCCTTGCGCCTCCTCGTGGTGCTGCCTGGATAGTCGACTGCTCTTTCTTTTCTCGCCTTCCTTTGGTTTGGGGAGGGGAGGGATGGGGAGTGGGAGATGAACTAGATGCTTGGGACGCAACGATGTGTAAGTCCATTCTTTTTCCTTTGGTTGTTGCAAACGGTAGGTTGGGGGTATGCGTGGTGTTGATGATGTGATGATGGGTTGGATGTGGATGGATCTTGCTTTGGGTGCTTGCTTCTATGTAGACGATGGCTCTCTTAGTAGAATCAATGATCTTCTCAAATCATATGCTATTGTTGCTTCCCTTCTCTGTGATTAGTCATTTTCCAATGGTTGTCCTTACCCAAGCTCTTGTGTTAACGAATGATGACGATACTTCTCTTTTTTCGAGAGGACCTAATTGTATAGGTATATATAGATTTTGGAAGTTGTAAGTTGCTCGTTGCGATGGGTCATTAAGTGTACCATGGTATGGAGGTGACGGTACCAGAGTACGACTTCGCGCACAGTGTCTTCACCCAATCCATCTTTCCTCACTTCCAGGCGTCTTATCATCATCACATCTAACCACAATGGCCCGACTTGATACTTAGCTGTGAAGCTACTGCTTGGCATTCTAGTCAATGAGGATCAAGTGCTGAACGCCGCGCTGTTATTGAGTTCTACTCCGCCACGAAATTTAGCGTAGGGGCTGCATCTTTGCCGCACAAGTGGCTTACTAGTCTACGGATCGCGAGGCACTGCTAGCCTGGTGGGTACGGGGCGTACAAAACCAGAGTACATCTTTCGCCAGGTGACTTGTGAGCAAGCTAGATTACTGAACATTATGCAATCAGCTCAGTTAGCCTCATGAGCCCAGTAGAATGCGCTGGCCAATCAAGCTGACATTGTTCCAATCCTAAAAGTATGTTTCAGTAACAAGCACCCAGCATAACAAGGCGTCGACACCCTCTCAGTTTAGGTGTGTCGACCTTGTTTACTTCAGTGCCTTACCAGCTCGTCCAACACCAAGCACAGCACAGCATGTCCCCGCGCATACCACTCTTCTTCTCTCTTCTCGCACTTGGCAGCGCACAAACATGTTTCTGGCCCAACGGCGGCTCGCAGGACGACACGCGATACCAACCCTGCTCCAACGACACATCCAATCCGCTCAGCCACATCCGTTGCGCGGAGTGGGACGAGTGCCTTCCGAACGGTCTTTGCCTTTCTGGTCCCGGCGTCTTCTGGCGCGAATCATGTACACTCTCCAACTGGGAAGCGGGGGGCTGCCAGGATGTGTGTTCGAGTGCAGTAAGTCAAGACGAGAACTCGGGCATCTTTTAACGTGAAAGAACGCGAATAGCTTATAGCTTATCTACAGGCAGAGCAACGGAAAAACGATGTCGAAGTCACGCCTTGTGATGGGAGCGCTACGTCGGATTGGTGGTGCTGCGGGAATTCAAGTGCTTGCTGCAGTGATCCACGTCTGGCGAAATATCAGGTCGAACCTGAGTTTGTAGGGGCTGTCACAACTTCCTCTCTTCCATCTTCTACCAGCAGTGCTCTTGTGACAGGCTCGTCTACTTCGTTCAGCCCTTCGTCTACCGCGCCAGCCCCGAACAACGATAACGGTACCTTGTCGACAGGTGCAAAAGCTGGCATTGGTGTGGGCGCGGCTATCGGTGTCATCGCGCTGGTTGCTATAGGTATCTTGATCGGAATAAGGACGCAGAAGAAGAAGAAGAAGAAGAAGAAGAAGAAGAAGAAGAAGAAGAAGAAGAAGAAGAAGAAGAAGAAGAAGAAGAAGAAGAAGAAGAAGGATATGAGGGAGGAGACGGGGTATCACGAGCCGGCCAAAGAACTGCCACCAAGTTATAGATACGAAGCCCCGGCTATGGGACCACTAGTGGCACTGGCTGGGGATCAGAGACAACCACAGGAAGTGCCTGGGGGTATTCGTCGACCTGTGCTGTAGAGGTTTTCTGAGGTGAAGGAGCATGCGGCAGAATGGGTGCTCTAGCGAAGTGCAGAAACCAGCTGCGGCCGAGCGCGATGTATCACGGAAGTGGAAGCTCATATTGAGAGCCTAAACTCTCATCACTATGACTGCATGTGTCTACTCGTCTTTTCCTCGGGCGTGCAGTGTTTGGGTGACGATGGTCCTGAATTGGGGCTAGCACTCCGCCCCGGTCCATAGCGTATCTCATGCGTGTCATAACAACGTCATCTCTACAATCGTACCACAACGGCGATCCAGCATGCCGTTTTACATGCGCATCCGCGTCAACTGACCAAAGAAAGTCCACCAAGCACATCAGATCGGTCACAACGACTCGGCTGCGCAGTCACGAGAGCGGATCGCTCCCCAAAGCAATGATGCATGATGCGTGAATACTCGTAATGCGCGCTTTCCCCCGGCATATGCGGCTGCTGGTAGGTATAATACTTGGACGAGGTACTTTGCGTTGAGACTACTGCAACTCTACATAGCTTTACGCATTGCACAACTACTCAGGATATTACAGCATGGCGAACACGCAAATAACAAAGCAAGCTCTACTCGAGCACAAAGTCATTCCAGACGTCCTTCCAGACACCATCAACCTTTCCTACGACCTAGCTCTAGAATGGCCAAACACAAAACTCGACACACCAGGCAAAGAACTAGCCAACGCCGACACGAAAGAAGAACCAAAAGTCTTCCTCGATCCCGCAGTGAGCATTCTCACTGATCTCGCGTACTACGTCAACTGACGTTGTACCCAGCCCAGCGAGACCCTGGATAACCTCGTTTTGATAATGGTAGACCCCGACCTCATGACAAACAACGACACTTCCTTCGGCCAGGTACGCCACTGGCTCATTACAAACCTGTCCTGCGACTCCACCGGCACACTCTCGCACCACTCCGCCGCCATACGCTCGCCTTACGTGCGCCCTGCGCCTCTCCCCAATTACATCTCGCGACGCCCGCATCGCTATGTATTCATCCTCGCGCGCGCGTCCAGTAAGATTGAAGTCCGCCCCGAAGATCTTCGTGAGATGCAGAATCAGTATACGGCTGCGGTACAGGGGAAGCAGGGCGAAATGCAGGATTTGAAGGACCGGTGGGGTTTCAATGCGTGGAGGCTGTGTGAGGAGAAGGGGTTGGAGGTTTTGGCTGTGAGTTTTATGAGGGTGGCGGGGACGCTGGAGAGTAGTGTTGCTAATGCGGGAATGATGGCGCAGGCGGTTGGGGATAAGGTTGTTGGGAAGTAAGCAAGTGTTTGAAGAGGAATTCATTGGGAAGCTATATAACTCTTCAGACCCCCTTCAGCTGTTCATCTCAAAGCAAGCCAGCGCCTACCAGGTCACCAATTCCCCATCCACTCATTTCATCCCATCCCAGGCCAACCCATCTCACTCCCCCTTCTCCTCCTCAAACACTTCAACGACCACCTCCCCACCCCCAACCCTCCACGTCTGCGTCATCTTCGGACGGAATAAACCCCCCTCCTTCTCACTCTCCCCCTTCGCCCGCTCCCTCACAACCTCATCATCAGCCTTGATCCTGGCGAAGACATCACCACCCCAAGGGTTTGCGGGCGGCGGTCTGCGAGCGTTGCCGAATACAGCGCCTTTAGCAGGCTGCGCGCGGAAGCTGCCAGGGCTGGTATGCCGACTACGCGGGGCGCGGGGAAGGGTGGCGGCACTGGCAGCGGTGTGGGTTACCGTCGACATTGTGGGCTTGTGGGTGACTTTGATGACCACGGGGAGGGGTGTAATTGCCATGGGGGCGGGGAAGGTGTAGGCTGTGTCCCAGAAGAAGTCGGGGGAGAGCGGGTTGTAGGCGCCAGGCTGGTTTTGAGGTGGGGCAGTGAGCTCACGGGGAAGTGCTTGTGGGTGGCAAGCCACCAGGTGTGATGATGACTGAGTGGGTGACATGTTCTTGTAGTCGGTAAGTGGTTTGTTGGTTTGTTGTGGAAGTGTGAAAATTGGATATGTAGTAGGTAAGATGGTGTGTGAGATAGAGGATGAGAGCGGGAGGACGGGTTGTAGTCTTTATATATGGTACCTGCGCTTGAGAATTGTGCGCGGTTTATTGAGATGGCTGGGTACAATAGACGGTCGTGGTACAATAGGAAGGAAAGTTTTTGCGTTTTGTAAAAGTGAAGGTGAAAGAGGTGGGCTATTGTCATTGAATGCGGTGGACGAGCCTAAAACTAAGGCATCACAAACATACGCACAGTACAGAGAACGGATGTAGATATCTCTCTTGATTCCAATTCCCAACATAATACATACGTATCTCCACCCCTCCACATCCCACCACTCTCCAATGAATCCCCGATTCCCCTCACAGCTCCCACTAATCTTTTCCCACCAACGCCATATGATGCTAGCACTACCCCATCCGAGCCATGTGGTCGAACGAACGTATTGAACTTCAGAACCGAAGAATTACAAAGAATAAGAATCTGAGAAAAGAGCTGTAATACATAAACTCGAATAAAGTATACCTTACTCATCGTATACTATGAGCGCTGTTGTTGGCCTCCATTGACGGGTCGAGACCGCTGATCACCAGAACCGTTAGTCGGAGGTGTCGCGAGTTGCATGGGGCTGCCGTAGCCGTCTAGTTGGAGGGATGGCTTGTTTCCGAGGGTACTTCGCTCGGTTGCGTCGGGGAAGGATAGGGTGGAGGTTTCGTCCATGGGCGTGAGGGTCTCTTCGACATCAGTGGTTGCGGGGGGTGGTGGCGGAGGTGGCGGCGCTGATTCCTGGTTTTCAGAACTTGTTCTTGTTCGCTTTGGTGAGCCGGATTGCGTCTCTTCGTCCCTCTTTCGCTTGAGGTCGGATGTGGAGTCGGTGGGAGAGGCGTCGTTGGCATCTCCGCTTGGTGCTTGTGGAGTGCTGGGGGACTCGTTGGTGAGGTCGGATTTTGAACCACCCTGGGCAGCCTTGAGTCTCTGTCGCTCCTCCTTCTTCTTGACGGCCTTGTCCATGAAGTCTTTCACGTATTTCTTGATGGTGTTCTCGTGGTTGGAACTGATCTTGGCTGTCGGATCCTTGACGCGACCAGACTTGTAGTCCCCTCGTACAAGCTTCTGCGCAACCTCTTTGCTGAGTCTCTTGATTTCCGTCTTTTCGAGCTTCTTGCGATAATGGCTTGTCACAGTCATGACGTGTGGTGAAAGCTGTGAAGGTCAGACATGCTTCACGAGATACTGGGAATTACTCACTGTCGCTTCATACACCTTCTCCTGTTTTTCTCTTGACAGGGTACGCCACTTTTCACGACCGGAACTGGATTCCATATCCTCGTTAGCTACTGGCTGTGGGGTGGTAGATGCGGAGGGCCCGGTAGGTGTGCCGTTCGAGGTAATGCTGGATATGATGTCTTGCAATAGCTGGGTATCACTTCTAGCTTTGTTTGGCGGAGGAGGCGGGGCATCTGCAGGCTGCGTCGGCCGTTGCCATTGTGTGATGCCATTGGAGTTGTAGAAATATGTCGAGCCATTCTCAGCTGTTGCTTGGAACCAACCCTGGGGAAGGGCGTTGAACGGTCTTGGTCGCATGACGGGTCGCGCAGGAGCAAAGAAGCCAGCCGGACCGCGAGGCGCATTTATCACGCCGCGAGGACCGGACGGGACGTTTGCTGCAGACGGGCCTTTGGGCGCAATCGTAGATGGTGACTTTGACCTAGACCTAGATCGCTCACGACCTCTCTCGCGTCGTTCGAAATGATTCTCTGTTCGAGCTGGCGTGCCAGCGTTCGGATCTCTCTTCAAGCGCGGTATCCGGTAGCCAATCTCCAGCTTACTCCATGCGGTCAATAGCTTCTTCGCAGCCTCTTCTACTCGTTCCTCTCCGCAGTCCTTCACCTTGCTCACCGCATCTTCGATTCCAGAGTCTTGGATCTTGTTGCGGGTAATGCGTGGCAGCCTGTGTAGAATATCCAGTATTTGCAGAACAACGTTATGATCTTCCTTCCATTTGTTCAAGGTTGTCTTCAAGAACTCGTAACCGTGGAATTGGACAATGCGATGGCCGATTCTCTCGTTGTCGGTTTGCATGCGGCTGAGAAGTTTGACAGCAATCCATTTCTCTTCGCAGCTGCGCAGAGCTGTCAGGACCTTGTTGACTGCGTCCTCTTCAAGCTCGCGTGGCTGCAAGTCGCTGATGTATTCCTCGTCATCCTCGCTGGCCTTCTTCTTGCGGGGCTTCTTGGCGACTGCCGTACCCCAACCAACACCATCATCGATTCCGAGCGCCGCAATCGTGTCATTATTGAGGTTTGTCGCGTTGTCGGACTGTGTCTTTCCGCCGATAAAACCACTGCAGTTTGGCTCTCCACAGTAGCAGGGCTGCGGATCTGCACCGTAGCGGTCGACGTTGTAGTTGAAGACGAGTTCTTCGCCTGCCTTGACGTTGCGCTCCACGAATATGCCCATACGCAGCTTGTCCCCAACAACCCATTTGTCGACGAAACAGTTCGGGTTGCACGAGTGATTGCAGAAACGACCAAGATTACCCTTCTTGGTCGCATCTACAAATTCGCCCTTGGTCAGAGACATGAAGTAGAAGTGCTTGATGCCCTCCTCATCGTATTGGCCCATGCGACGGCGGAAGGTGCGCTCGTCGATGACCTCGCCGATGTACTCAAAGACGAAATCGCCGGGAGCCATATTCTTGTTGGCGCGAAGACCGAAGCCCTTCTTCTCTGTCTTAATAACCGTGACGTCTGCGTATTGTTTCCGTTGAAAGCGCTGGTTCTGGCATTTCCGCCCACAGCTGCAGTCGCCCAAGCACTCCATCTTTGTCGCACGGTTGATGCAGTCGGAGTCTTCGCCACAGGCATGGTTGGTCTTGGTCGTGGAGTCGTATTCTTCCTGGCAGTCGCATTCGAGCGCAGGGTCGGTCGTGCCGATGGTCTTGTTCGCGTAGGTGCATTCTGGGAGGACGACGAAGGTTTCTTTGGCGGCATCGGTCGAGTCGGGGAGGTCGATGTATAGCGGCGGTGGGCGAGTGACGACTTTTTGGGAGGCGGAGCGTGAGAGCTTGGGGGCTTTGCCGGGTTCCATCTTCAGCGTAATATCTCCCCCAACGATCTCTTCCTGGCCGCTGCCGGGTGACGGAGTATTGAGCTCGTGTTTTGCCATGGGCGACTGAGACTTGGATCGCGTCTTGAGCCTGGGAGGTATGGCGAGAGGCGTGGACGCGCGGTCGAGCGAATCTCCCTCCACTTTCACCTGCGTGGTGCTCTTGCCCTCACCTGCTCCTCCCGAGGTCGCGCCTTCCAGCTTCATCTCGCGTAGCTCCGGCTCGAGTTGAGCCGTGTTTTGGTCCGACTCGCTGTCCGACATGTCGTTGAGAGGCGTGGGGGTGGTGGAAGGTGCTGAGGCAGAGGGTGGAGGATCGCGAGAATCTCAATGAGAGGGACGCTAACGGCCGATGTCCAATATCACACACGAAGAGCCACGAGCCTATTCACCTCATAGTCCAGGCGACAAACATACACCGAGCACTCCAGATGCAGCTCCTAGCACGCTTGGATGCAGGGCGACTGCTGGAGAAGAGCGTCGGTCGTCTTGGACACTGACGGGAGCAAAGATTTCGCCTCCCCTAGACACAAGGCGGCACACGACCCGGATCTGCTATGCGCCCAGACTGCGCTCGATGCGCCGAGCAATAGGGGCTTTATGGAGGTATGTATTTCCCTGACGCTGTCGCTGTCGCCATGAAGGTACGCGGGATGGAGCTGGCGGCGCAGCCAGGCGTTTCGCGGGTCCGGGCTCTTGCCTCGACGACGGCACGGTAGGCAATTCTTTCTAGTCCGCGGTTGTCGCGTAGGAAGTCTGAGCACGCGAATTCGGTCAGTGGACGATGTGTTCAAGTGGTGCTACGCGCGACGCGATGCGCTGAATTCTGGTCGATACTTTGGAGATGCGGACGAAAACTAGCGTTAGCCAATTGGTCCAGCCTCGGTCTCCCAGAGTCCGTGATGCAGGGCCCCTCCGACCATGTTTCCATCGGCGCGCGCACATGTTTCTATCAAGTCGATGCCACTGGAGAAATACGATGATGGGATCATGACCATTGACTGCTTTGCTCGGGTCCGCGGAGACGCTGGGACATCGGACTACAGAGCTACTTCGCGGGATATGAAGTCTTGGCGATTCGTAGAATCACTAAGGTGTTGTCAGAAGGTCGGAATCAGTTAGGCAAACAGGACAAAGGATCATGACTTCGTTTGATGTTCCAAGGGAGTGCTCACTTACACAAATTCATTTGGTGCGAAGAATCCATGTCACGCGTCCTTGCTATGTACGGACTGGGAAAGCCCAACGTGTTGCACGGATCTTTACTACATGAGGAAACTAATATATACGCAAATGCGACTACACCATAGACGTAGGGAAGACGTAAGTAAGCACCCTTGGTTTGAAGTAGTATCACGGCCGCAGCTAACGGGCAATGAGCAGTGGCCGATGTATCAGGATACATTCGATTTCGGAGTGACATACGCGAGTCACCGAGATATACGGTGTTCACGGGCCGAGAAAAGATCCAGGGTGATGCGACATGTTGAGCAGACCTCGGGAGCTGCTGAAAGCAACGTATGTCTACCACGACTCAGGTCAGTCACCGCAAGCTTTGATGGTTCATGCCGGATGTTCAGTCATCGGAATATATCGTGTGGCTGGTCGTGGAATCAGCATGTTTCGTTCCTTTTTTAGAGGTCCAGGGTTGGATCAGAGCTAGCGCGAACCCAATTTCTCAAAAAGAATGGCTTTGTTCGCGACGTGACTGAACCTTGGAAGATGCGAACCCGCGCTGAACAGCGATATTCGATTGTTGCATGTACAGACTGCAGAGGTATATGCTGATGTCAAGGTACGTCGGAGTTCTACTTGGCTACTGACTCAAGCTCGCTGGCGGGTCGGAGAGTCTCGACTTCCGCATCGATATGCATGCTTGCGCTGGGGTTGTCCAAATTGCGCGGACAATCTTTCCGAAAGACTAACCTTTGCTAGCAGGGTGAGCTAGGATCGCGAATGGTGCATCGCGATGTCGCTGGCGATGGCATCCAAGTGGCTTACTTAAGCGAACGAAGCAGCGCGGCTCCACAAGTATACTAGCGCAAACTTTCACCGAACGGCTACAACTCCTACACAGCAGCACCCATCACGCCGGCACGACAGCTGACCTGGCCACACCGGCTAACCTCCGCCTCTACACGGCCCAGAGTGTCACTCGCTGCGAATTAGCGGCACATCTGCGCCATGAGAGCAGACACTTGCATCTAGCGGACGCTCGTGAATGCCATTGGGGGCTATGCCGAGTCGCGGCCCGCTCCCGATCGTCGACTGTCTCGACTGGCTCCGCGTAGCATACGGTGAGGAAGACCACCGGGCGAGTGCTACGTGTCTATGCATGCGCGCCCTGTGGCCGCTGGCCAGCTATAAGAAAGAAAGAAAGAGTCAAGCTACGCCGCTGCGAAGTTTGTGCCTCTGGATACACATCTTTCACGCAGCCGTCCTGGAACAGACTACACATCGCACCGTTGACAGGGATGACGAGGCCGTCTTCCGCTGCCCCATCTGGCGCGACGCGCTCATGACGATCCGCGCTGAACCGTTCTTGCCAGATTGCGTGCAGGACACCAGCGCTGCTGCGCGTCGCGACAGTTCAGCCTCCTTGCGGGCACGCTTGCGGTCATCTGGAGCAACACGGTACTGTCAAACCCCCGAGACAAAAGGCGGCAGCGTACATGGAGAAAAAGGAAGGCAGGGGACTGGTTTGCAAGGGAAGGGCCGTTGGTCTCAGGCTAAACCATCCAGGGCTGGTGAGACACGGCTTGGCCCTGCCCTCTAGGCGATTGGCTCATCGGTTTGCGCAATCGTTTTCGAACATCCACAAAGGCTTTCGAGATGGGGTAAAGCGCCGCCAGATCTAGGTTACATACGTAGTCCTCGTTATCGATTTGCGACAAGTACTGATTTAGACAGATACCGTGCGTGAAGTCTTGGAAGCTGCGTCCTGGGTGTGGGGACTAGTCGCGTCCCATTCGTCTTTGAAGAGAAGCCGCTAATGTATAACATACCGGGTGGCTCTCCCCAGTAATCTCTCACGGGAAGCTGTCTCTCCTAATTATTTTGACCCAGCCTCATGTGGTCCCTTTTGACACACACTTCTTGCCTGCTGGCATGAAATCGACAACCAGAGCCCGCCGCAGGTTTCTTTGATTTTAGTGCTCTTCTTCTACCGCTCGTTACTCTTTCGTTTCAGCACTCTCGTTTGTTCTGTTGGTAGACGCAGCTATACAACCGCGCGCGAGGGCGCGTCGCTCTTCGCGCCGGTCCACTTACTTTACGGCCTTGTGATCGATGCTCGATTAGTCTGGTTGCATACAGCAAGCATTCGCCGTAGCTACTTCTTGGTCTCTGCCCTCGCGTATTTTGAGCGTATCGAGGATCACGACATGGAGCCCTCGAGCTCGCGCGAGCCACCATGGGCAGAGCATGAAAAGGTACGTACCTCTCCCACCCATTGTAACACATCTATTCGCGATGAATAAGTCACTAATACAACCACATCAGGTATATTTACTTGCTGAAGTACTAAAAGCGGCCCCCATACCATCTCACGTTCTCTTTCAATTTATACGCGACGCCAACATCCAACCACGATGGAACGACATGGCTTTACCTCCAGGTATGTTTGGTCCTCTGCGCTTTCGTGAATACGTTTGTTCTTTTAACAATACACGTACTCTCCATACAAGAAGAATATACTAACGCGACGCAGGCCGATCGGTTCGCTCTAGCCAGATGGCATTTGACAGTCTCGCAACCAATTTCGTCACGCCTGGACAAGATTACCGACGCCCTCAGCTACCTGCCCCAATGGTGTATCCTGCGCCCGACCTCTCGAGAAAACGACCCCATCAGCAAGAAGCCTCCACGCCCATTGGCCGCCTACTACAACCTCGACCCCCCCATTCCTACCCTGGAGATTTTATGCCTGCCGGCCCTGCCTACACATCTACTATAAATCCATCTGGCGAACCAGCGAACAAGAAGAAACGCGGAAGACCTACGAAAGCGGAGGCGCAACAAAGAGCGCAAGAGGCTGCTGCGCGGGGCGAGGTGTACCCACCACCTAGGAGGGGGAGACAATCCATCACCGCACCACCTGAACCGTCACCACTCGGACCGGATCCTCGACCGCACGATCGAACACCTCCGCCATCAGCGCCTTCCCAATTGGCTCCCGCGATGACACCACAGCAACAAATCGGGGTAGAACACGGGTCAGAGTCCTCATCAGGAAAGAGAAGACGAACAAGACCAACACCATTGGAATTAGAGAAGCATCGCGCAACCAGCGAAATGGAATCTCCCCTGCAATATGGGTCTGGCGACCCGAATCGCAGCCAAGCGTACTCAACATACACGCCCATCTCTGCGCCCTTGCCAACTTCATCAGAATCCAGGGACAGAGATGTGCGCATGGAAGGGGTCGAAGAGACTCAACCACGAACCACGACACCTCACTCGTTTAAAGACACGGTCGGCATATGACAGCGTTTCTTTCGTCCAAAAGCAACATACGGCGGTAATCCTGTTTTGAAAGCGTTCCGTCAACGACTTTACTTACGCACTCACGATGACCTATGGCCATGACACATGGAGGTACGCTCTGCCGTTTACGCTTGCTACCACCATTGATGATCACTCGTCAAGCGCGCGCATCATTGATCATGATCATGTTGTTATTGCAGCTCTGGGGCATTTGTCCCAGACACACCATCATTTCTTGTCAAGCTCGATTTCTTTGCCATACTTTTATCATTCCTTTCTTCATTGACTGCATGTCGACACTACGAAAGTTGAGATATGACGAGCCTTTACCTAATGTCTTAGTATCGCTCTCTTCACGACTAAAGAGTTTCGTATTTTCGTATCTCTTTCGGCAGTAAGGCGCCTATGCCAGCCATCTTGTTTTTTCCGCAACGTGTACGATAGATGGATTTCCGATCAGTTCCGCATTACGGCCTCTGTACAAAAAGCACCTATTAGCAACAGCATCAATAGTAGACTTGGCCACGGCCAATCAGTCCGCATTCTTCCCATCGCTTTGAGCGAGCATCCCTCGTACCATGTCGCACACCGCTCCTGCGTGTCAATGTACGTATCCTGGTGTCCATTCATCTAGCGAGTACTAGCATTTCACGACATTCGAGTTCCTGCAGGCTGACCAGGAAGGCATCATAGGAAGTGGTTGGGATCCCGAACTGGGCAGCGTAAGGCGACGCCAGCCGCGGCGCGCGACACGAGCAACGGGTCTTGTTTCACCTATGAATACCCTACGAGTTCCGGTACTACTATCGCCCGTTCTCGTACCTCATACACAAGGTCGCGACGCAGGGGTACCATTGCTACTCCGCGCGCAAAACTATTCGGCAATCTGCATGTAAGCGCCCTCCCAAACAACCTCCACACCTAACAATCAATCGCCATCCACAGTCTCAAACGTTCTACTCCATCTTCACCGGAAGTTTTTCGGCAGAAACCAGCTACGAGTATTGGTTGAGAGACTTGTGAGGAAATGACTCGAGTTGCAGCGTTGCGTTTGCGGCTACGCACTTGTCTCTGCAGACTACTGCTGCAGCACGAAAGGGGAGTCGACATGACGCCAACGCATGCACGCATCGACCAAGTCCCAACACCGAAACTGCAGAACAGCAAGCAGCAGACGCAGACAGCCATTGCCTGTCCAACCAACTTAGCCTGTGGTAAACATTGCGGCTAAAAACGCCCGTCAAATATCTGGAATGTCACTCTTGCGATTTGCAATGGTTGTTCGATGACACAACAACCACTACACTCCCTGTACAAGCGCGGACCAGGGGATGCGATGGAGGATGACGGAACCTTAACTCCAGTATCTCGGCCGCAACGTATCAGATATTACGCACCGAACCTTTACCCCACATCGCGCCTAGCAAGCATACCAGTGCCGTTTCCCATCTTTTCCACTACTACTACCAGCCTCGGTCTAAGGAATTAATTATCTCTTTAGTCCAACGGGCTACACAACGCGAATGCGACACGTCAAAGAACACAGTTTACCGATTCCCTGGCCTTTGGAAAGTTTTTACTAAAACATTCGACGGCGCTCTCCACCTGCCGTGTCGATAAACACTAACGGCATAGAACGAGGCTGACTGTCTAACTAACCTTGCCGTTACTAACTATCAACGTGTAAATATAAACAAACGTTTTGTGACAACCGTCCCAGCAACCAGGTGCTCTCATTCAGTTTCGCGCTGGCCCTGCCGCACTCTATGACGCCAGTGTTTTGAATCGTATCTGACAGCGATATTGCCAATACACGTTATTCTCTGGGGCGAGCTTTTTCCGAGCGAGAGCGAGAGTGCGAGCGGGTGGCTTGTATACGTATGCAAGGTCGTGCCTTGGAAGCTCTGGAAAGGGAAGGTACTGTAGGAGGGAGGAAGGAACAGGCGAAGGAAGGAAGGAAGGGACGGGGGAAGGTAAAGGTAGGGATGGGGCGGTTTACGCTTGGGCCAGGCGTTCTTGACGTTTTCGATTCCTCAAAGGGAGATGCGGGGGGTGTGCGTGGTTGGTAGGTAGGTCGCTCGTTGTTGTTCGAAGCGCGCGGGATGGGGAAGGCGCGATTATCGCGACATGTAAAGTTTAGTATGTTCGTAGAAACAGATCATCGTCGAAACAAATACTAAGCGCGCTATTATCCTCTACAATCCACTTCCCATCTACACCACCTATCTACCTTCCATCTCCATCGAAGCGCCCGCATCCGTCGTCGGTCCCTCGCTTACATCTGAAACACATTCCCCCATCCCTAATCCATACAGTACCTAGGCGATCCATATCCATAGATGCGCCCGTATATTACCCAGATCGTCATATAGCCAGGAGTCGTCTATACCACACACCTCTCTCGATTTCCATTCAGATCGCCGTCTTCGCGCTCTCTTCCGCTTAGCCCTGCACACTTCGGTTCATTCTTCACCTTCGGTTGCAGCATCCGAAATGCGCGCGTGCCGATTGCAGATTGGGCATATGAAGGGCACTTTGTACCTGCGTCTCGCGTGCGTGCGTGAGCGATGATGTCGGTCCTGCGCGTTCCTGCATTGGAACAATCTATACTTCTGCTCGATTGAGCGACTCGGTTAGGATGGAGAAGGTAAGTGGGTGTGCTGTGTATATCGACGACAATGGATAGGGATGGAGTTGGGCGAAGGTGTGGTATTGGTGATCTGGACTAGATGGTGGCATTCTTGTAGAGGGTAATATCGTCAAGGTGGTAATGTGGTATATGCCCAAGACGGGAGATATTAGGCGAGCAAGGGATGGGGGAATTGGGGTTAATATAGTTGCGGTTGTATACATGCATATGTGAGGGGCTGGCATGGCGTCGGTCGTCGCGTGCGCTTTCTTGACGTTTTCGATGATGAGATTACTACGTGTGGGTGATGACGTGCATAGATTCAATATTCCGTTCGCAGAGACGAAATGAGTACAGTATGTAGGTACAGACGGCGCACGACTCTGATGCGTATCAGAAGTGACAGAACTTTTGATAAATGGTATTGCTAGGATATCTCGGCTTCGAAAATCAGCACACACGCCTTGCTTTCAATACGCATCCCATGCCGTCAAAGCAACAGCTATGAACCAAACGCCGAAGTAAAAGCCCACCCAAAAATGCTGTGGTATCAAGAAAGGATAAAGGAAAACGGACGATAGTCTGCCAAGGTAGAAAACGTATATCAATGCTAAGCTCATTGCTCACCACCCCTCCTAGAACGCTATATATGCTCGAGATAGGAATCAAGGAGATGGATGCCTTGCTACGGCGCCACAGATTCTTCGACGGAGAGAAGCTAACTCGCCATGTCGCAATCACTTTTGCAGTCGGAGCATGTCCAGTCGCGTGGTTTGTCGGTTGGAATTATTGAATGGGTGTGAGATTGTACGCATGCCCAATGGAAGATTTGTCGTATGCAGTCCTGTCGAGATGTTAGTTGACGGAATTCTAGACGCACTCTGGGATTTGCAATACTTACGGTATCATTACAGGTGATGATACCCGATCCTGGTGTCGCCGATGCATCTTGGCCACAGTAACATAAGCCGTATGGTGGATCGTCATCTTCATTTTGAGGTGTTTCCAGTGGCTGTTCCACTTCCTGTGGCGGTGCTTCGCTCATGTCCACATCGCCATCAGGATCCGGAGTGGTAGGAGTCATATAGCCATTGAGTGCTCGTGAGTACGACCTGTCAATATCGCCTAAAACGTCGGCAAGAACGTCGTCAAAGGAGTCGTCAAGGGCTGCGGCTTTTGCCTTTCCCTTCCCTTTCCTGTCTCTTTTCGGCGCAGACCTCGTATGCGCCCTTAGTCCAGCCGAGCCAACAGACGTCTCCTGGTTTTGAACGTCGAGGTGTTCTAAACGCTGAGACAACTCGTTGGCTTCATGAATGTTTGTCTCCTGGTCGTTGACTATCTCCAAGGCTTTGCTGTGTACGTCCTCGGAGATAATATCTTCCTCTAATAATTCATCGAGCTTTTGTGTGAATTCGCCCATGATACCGGCCCGCCATATCCGTACACCGCATTCTCGTGCGAACCGAACGGTGGCGTCTCCAACATGTATGTCTGATTGCAGGCTCTCTTCGTGCATAAAGTCATCGAAGAGTTTTATGAACCGTCTGGCAGATTCTGATAGGTTTGCTTTGTCGATTTCTGCGTGCTTCCAGCGATACAGCCATTCTTCATCCAGCTCGTCATCGCTCTCACTGATCTCTTCGCCAGGCTGAAGAGGTCTTCTGCTGAGTGATCGGAAGAAAGTGATACCTTTCGGAGGTGTCGGTACGATGAACTTCTTCTTCTCCCTTTCTGGCCTAGACTGCACTTGATCTGGAAGTTTGCGTATCCTGGGTGCAGGCGCAACTTGCTGACCAGTTGGGGCAAGTTTCGATCTCGCGTTTCTGGTAGCTTTCCCAAGTCTCGCAGCTCTTTCAAACTCGTTATCGCCTGCCAAGAATTTTCGTCTGTCGAAAGGTTTGGGTGGTGCAAGTACGCGCACATCGTAAGGCTCGTCAGCGTTGTCGCTTGCACGTTGACGCTGGTCTGTTCTGTAATTCGCCACTTCGCTCTCGAATCGCCAGTGCTCTACCCCGTGCTCGTCGACCTGCTCAAGGAAGACCTGGTAATCGAAATAATCGTGCCAACTTATTAGATGCATCTTGAGATCGTCAATGTCAGTGGTTTTTCTCTTCGAGCAATGCGGACACATGAGCTCTGATCGTTCAAGAGTATCATTCCCGTACACAAATGTAAGTTTGTAGCGGGGTTCCATATCAAGAGGTGGCGTAGGATATGAGCTGGGTGGCTGCATAGAGCTTTTCAGGTGACGGTTGTGGCTCGTCAAGACCGAGTCTCTTTTGAGTGGGATCCAATGCATGCTGACTTCTAGCCCGATACCGAGCTGTTTCCCAGATGCTTTCAGTGGTAAAGTTATCCTTCCCTGTGGCACATCGAAAATGTTCCCGTACGAAGTCGAAAGACGCGCTGAGGCATCTGAGATCTTGACGCCCATGAAGTCGTATAGGTTCTTGACATTGTCGTGGGTTTCGAAATTGATGCTCAACATGATCATGTGAATATCGTTATCATCGATTTTGGTAGGATCAGTGTACCAACTCTCGCGATCAATGACAATGGGCTCCACTTCGATTGAAGCTTCCTTTTCCGATCTATCGAATCCTCGCAGTGTTGCTTCCTGATCTGGGGGATTCTTGCAGGTGGGCATGGTCGACGATGAAACAATTGACGTTTTGATGGAGGTCGTCAATCGTAAGATATTCCGCACTTTCCGCGCTGGATCATTCGATCGACCATTTCGAGAAGACTCTGGGGCGTTCAGCGGCCGTATACTGTGCACCTCAAGAACGAAGGATCCCCCAGTTTTTTCTGCTGAGATCATATCGTCTAGTAGATCCCAGGATGGAGGTTGCCACTGAGAGCGAAAGCGGGGTCCTGTCTGTGAATACTGATCTTCGCTTTGGCTATGCGAGAGGCCCTGCTGCACTTGTTTTCGATTTCGCTCCAGGAACGGTAATCTCTTCGTCTTATACAGGTAGTCGTAGAAGATTATGTTGCCGAAAAACCTGTCTCGCCGTTCTAGCATGCTCTGCCAGTGCACATGCATGTTAGAGAATGTCTCATTTGTCGAGAAACCGTGGTTCTTACAGAATTGAGTGGTTGCTCAGTTGCATCCTACAGCAACCGAGAATGTGTAATGAGAGCGCACATCGGTGGGATCAGGTGAGAGAAGATGGAGTTTGCTGCGGTCCTGCGCGGCTGTTCAGAGCGGCGTTGCGGATGGAGATTGGGCGCGGAAGTGAAGATCGCGAGAAAGCAGGGTTGTTGTTGTTGTTTCTAGCGGTCTGACGCCCCTGGCCAGCGTGCGTCTGTCCCACGATATAGAAAGACGCGCAACAATTACGCAAATTGCTCTTTTTGCTTTGGAATTGGCCGACAAAGAGTTGAATGTCTTGTGTTGATGGGATTCGTGTTTGTTGTTTCGCAGAGGTTTGTGGTCCGCGACGGCTACCAGGGACGACGCGATAGCGCACAAGCAGACAGCGCTCAGCCGGCGAGATGCTGAATCGCAACTTTCTGCGAGGCTTACTGTGCAGCAATGCGAACACGACGGACACCCCACACTCCTGACGGGTGTGTGCAGGCAAAGGTGTGTTGTGGCATGTGTCACGTGCACGGGCGACACGGCTAAGCCGCATCGGCTCGCGGATCCCGGATGATCTCATTGATCCTCTTACCTCCGAAGGCCGCATGCATCGACATTTCACTATCGCAACTCTCACTCTCAGTCCTCACACTTCTGACTCACACTTTGGCCTGCTCCATGCACCTCCGCGACTGCGTCCGAGGGCTTAGGAGCCCCTTATAGGCAGGACTCACGGCCAATTAGTCTGCGAGCTGGCCCCCCATAGTCACTGGACCCTACCTTGTGCGACATGGCCGTCACACTGAAGCGCAAACGCGGTGCAGTCTCGTATAAAGAGCCGAGCAGCGACGAAGATCTCTCCGAAGGCTCCGGCTATGAGCAGACTACCAGAAAGCGCACTGTCCCTACTCGACGATCAACTCGCCGCCCTCCAGCCGACGATGAAGCCGCCAGCGAAAGCGATCACTCTCCGCCAGAACCTGCTCCTATCAGGCAGCAACGCGGCTCACGCAGCTCACGGATTCGAGGAGCCCCACGGATATCATACAAAGATGTCAGCTCAGACGAGGAGGACGAAGAGGACCCAGATGCCGACTTCGAGCTGGAGGATGAGCGCGTCATGACAGTGAGGACAAGGTCGCGCCCGGTTGCAGCGCCGTCACCACGACCAGAGAAGATAGGAGGCACCAAGAGGAGTAGATCGCGAAGGAAAGCCGTCATAGGCGCACCGCTGAAGCCAAACAAGGAGGTTCAAGTCGAGCGCAAGACGACTATCCCCTCTGATGGACACAAGCCAGTATGTGTCTTGCATCTAATGGAAAGACTCGTGCTAATCTTCATATCCAGGCCTGGGCTTCCCTACCGTATCACGTACTCCTCCAGATCTTCGTGTACGCCTCCCATCCTCTCCACGACGAGAACATGAAGCCTACCGCATCGATACCGTGGCTTGTGCAGATGGCCAGGATGTGCTCAACGTTCACAAAACCGGCTCTGACGGCTCTGTATCGTAACCCACCCATATTCGCCATCAGACAGACGCGCAAAGACCTCGTTCACCATCTGATCACTCCTCCACCAGGGGCTCACGATGACTATCGGGTCATGGTCAAAAGATTAGAGCTGGATGCTACACAGATGACTGCTTTGACGGATCACGCAAACAGCGTTGCCGACCTTGCAGCCCTGGCTCGGTCACTGACGACACTGCGGGAGATTGACATCTTTGATCCTATGGATCGGCCACCCTTTCGCCCGCGGCTTAGGCGACTTCGGCGCTGGGTATATCCTACCGAGCTCTTTGATGCGCTTCGCCAGACCAGCCTCCGCTTGAGGAGTTGGCGATGGAACAGCACGTTTTGTAGCCAAGGACCTCTATGGATCAAGTCGATCCACGAAGGAACAGCATTTCAAAGCCTCCGCGATGTGTCTCTCGTCAAATTCCACCCTGAAGTTGTTCGCGAGGATCCAGAAGAGGACGACGGTCGACCGACAGTGGAAGAGCTGCTAGCATCTGCGTTGGCGGTGCTCCCCAATCTGCGAAGCCTATCCTTCGAGACTTGCGGTGTTGTCAGCGGGCGTCTCCTCCCATTACTGCCCACTGATCTCACCAGCCTCAGCATCATCAACTGCGGCGAGCTACTCTCTGATGCATTCCAGGCTTTTCTGGCTACACATGGCTCTCACCTCGAGGAGCTGACCCTCAATCACAATCAGGCTCTCGACATGTCATTTTTGGTCGACTTGAAGCGTTCTTGCCCTAAGCTCGAGGTCCTCAGAATGGACGCTACCTACTACAGCTCTCTTGTCATGTCCTCGGATAACGAGCCTCTCTACGAGACGCTTCTTGGCGAGAACGAAATGCCTACCTGGCCAACATCACTCCGTACCCTTGACTGCCAGTACTTGCGGAACTGGAATTCGAAGTCTGCGGACAACTTCTTCAGTTCGCTTATAAACTCTGCTGAAGAATTGCCCCGGCTTCAGGAGATCACTATCATCGCAATGGTGGACACCGACTGGCGGCAGAGAGCCGAGTTCAGACAGAAGTGGACTGCCAAGTTCAGAAAGGTCTTTGCCAGAAAGTGGGAAACACCTGATCCTAGTCTTGCGTCTCTCAGAGCCTTTAGAGAATGGAAGGCTCGCGGCGACGACGGGGAGAAGGTGGATTCTTTCATTGAAGGCATCTCCGAAGACATGGCGGAGAAGGCTGAGCCGGTCATGGCAGACGACGCTGATGGTAGCGATAGTGACGTTCCTTTGGCACCGTCACGCGTCCAGAAGCAGGATGAAGGCTGGGGCTCGAAGCGTCTTCGTTCTCGCTCAAAAGCAGCTCTAAGCTACGATGAGGAGTCCAATGAAGACGCTGCCTCGGAGGAAGAGGCGGCTTCAGATGAAGAAGAGCCTTTTGTGCAAGGTCGATGCCACACCGTCATTTTCCGCATCGACAACTTCCGACCACGCGAGGAAATCTTCAACGAGGCCGACTTCCTTGACGCAGAGCCCAGTGGGGATGAGGAGTGGAACGGCAACGATAACGAAAATGACGATGGAGGCGGGTATGCGTGGTGATCCACTTTCATTAAGGAGTAATCTTGGGTGTTTGGGTTTCAGGTGCGGGTATGACGTCTTGTACAGATATGACAGGCGTCGGGCTTTGGGGTTCATGCTCGGATCAAGACAGGAACTATGCATTAGGGAGGCGTTTATGTGGTTGGTTATTGAGATATCCGTGTGTTAGTATTGGGTTGCATCGGGCGCAAAGGTCGGGCTCTGGGAACCGTTTGGCAGCTGTCTCAGCCACATGTAGAAGCCAGCCATGCCAAGCGATCATCGGGTTTGCCGTGTGAATGTGATTAGCTTGTTTGTGATAGCAGCGATGCAAGGCAGCTGAAGAAACACATTCGCGCGCGAGACATGCGTCACTCGAGTGACTGCGCAAGTGCACAGCCTCGCAGAGCGTCCCAGCATCCTGGCCAATCCCCACCATGACCGCTAACAAGGACCACCCGCCCATTGCTGCTCGCACTCCTGTCATATAACCGCTGGCTGCGATGTGTTGATATTTCCGGCCGCCTCTCTTCCTATACCGAATCTCTGTTATATTCTTCCTCCTCCCTTCCTCTCGCATCCCCCCTTTGTACCCCGCCATCCCCTGCTCTCCACACCAACGACATGGCGGTACCCACACCTCCCATCCCGCCTGTCTCGCCAGACTCGGGCCCTACCGACCCTACGCTTCCCAAGCTGCCCGCTGGCTGGATAGCGCAGTGGGATAACTCGTACGTCTCTCTCTCAAGCACAATAGAAGACACGCTGGCTGCCCCGCCTTCGCACCGCATGCCCCGCGACACGAAACTGACATAGACCACAGATCCCGAAAGTATTACTGTACGTAGCCTTGGCCGCATCATCGCGCGATTTATGTCCTCAACGACGCCTCGACTCGCGAACGAAGCAAAACATACTGACTCCACGGCGATAGATGTCCAGATCAGCACCGGCGTCTCGCAATGGGAACTGCCCACGAGCGAAGCGCCCGTCGGCGGCTCCTCGTCCCACAGCACACCCGCGCAACAGACGAACCCATACAACGTCCCCGGCACCTCAGGCCCCGATGCAGACGACGGACAAAGAGGCATGGGCGACGGCCCGACTGGCGACAGGGCAGGTGGATTGGGTGTACGCCACATGCTACTTGGGCATCAATCGGGCGCTGGCTGACAATGGGAACAGGGCTTTGCGATGAACGCGCTCATGGGCAACAAGCAGAGTAATAGTGGACATGGCGGCGGTGGCTCGGGAAACCTCGTCGGTCAGCTCGCTGGATCGTTCCTCGGAGGTGGAAAACAACATGGTGGTTCTTCTGGGGGTCACTCTGGTGGCGGTGGTGCGGGACAGCTTGTTGGACAGCTGGCTAGTGGCCTGCTAGGTGGTGGGAAGCAGCATGGAAGTTCTGGAGGTCAACATGGCGGCAGCGCTGGCCACGCATCGAGCGGTGGTGGTGGTCTTGGAGGCATGCTTGGAAGCGTCCTCGGTGGAGGATCATCGGTATGGACATGAGTCTCGACTCAGAGAAACGCGCTGACAACATCTAGCACAACAAGCCCAATAACGGCGACTACGGCTACTCCGGTGCCTCGTCAGGCGGCACCTACACCGGCACCGCCCCGCCAACGTCCTACAACCCCAGCGCTCAAGGCGGCCAATACGGCGGCAGCGCTCCAAGCCATGGCTACTCATCTCCAGGTCCTGGACAACAATACGGTCAGGGTCAAGCCCACGCAGGCTACGGCGGACAACACTCTCCGCCCCAGCAGCAACAGCACGGCCAACACGGCCAGCATCAAAGCTACGGCTCGCAAGCTGGATTCGGTGAACAGTCAGGATACGGTGGGCCAGCACCAGGCTATGGTCAAGGACCACCGGCAGGCGGCCCACCAGGCGGCTACGGACAACAAGGTATGAACAATGTCACCGCGAAAGGGGAAGACGTGAGAACTAACATTCATCTAGCTGGCTACGGAGGTCCGGCATACGGCGCACCAACCGGTCCCTACGGCGGCGCCGCAAACTACGATAACCACCAGCACAACCAGTACGGCGGTGCTCCCACGCACGCCAACCAATATGGCGGCGGTCAACAGTATCCTCCTCCTCCTGGTGGCCATCAGGTTGGGTACGGAGGCCCGCCGAGCCACCACACTCCTCAGCCGGGTTGGCAGTAAATCTATCGCACTCGATCGGCCGAATCGTTGCGTGGTACTTGGATAAAGGGGTACACGGTCTTGGGTAGATTGCGGTATAGCAGTATGGCGATGAGAGAGGAACGGACGATGTTCAGTGTTTTGAACATCGTGTCTTGGTCTTGCTAGAGATACCTTTCTGAACTGTGTAGATTGAACAATCTTTGTTCTCTTCCTGAGTCCTGCCTTGTGTTTTCCCGGTGATCTGGCATAGCAGTGTCCGTGGCTCTTTGGCATCGGGACTCATTTCGATGGGTAGGTCTGGTCGTAATCTCGACTTCGATCGCAGCCTGATTCTTCCTACGTCGTTTTCCCTCGCTTGACTGATATCTGTGTAGTACGAGGGCCGGTAACTGCGCGTGTCTGGGGCGTATCGAGGACTGGCAATCCGACATGTCTCTTTTGTCAACCGCGCCGGTTGCCCTCTTTCCCTCAGCTCTCCCCGAAACTTTCCACATAGCCGTCGCTGCGCACCACCATGCCCATTCAACTCGTACATGCCATATTCCTCACCCAAACAAATCCCCTCCATCCCCACTCCCACTCCCACCCAAACACCCCAATACACCCCCCTCCCCCACAACCCTCCACGCCACACCAACCCTCCCATTCCCCTGTCCCACCCCTTCAACCCCAGGCACCTCATCCCCCTCACAACTCCCCACCCACCCACTCAAACTCGCCCGGAACCCACGCGCATCCTGCCGCGGAATCCGCACCCATACTTCCCGACCATGTATCTTGAGTGTGTCGATGGGGATCGCGGTGCCGGTGGTACCGAGGTAGGCGCGCAGGGGGGCGGTGAGGAGGGTTGAGGTTAGGAGGGGGGAGATGGAGGGGGAGGGTGTGGGAGGAGATGGGTTAGATGGGTTGGACGGGGTGGTGGGAGGTAACGAAGCGGTTCCTGGTGTGAGGAGGATGAGGTGGAAGTAACTCCAGCTGGTTTTTCGGAATGTAGTTTGGTGGAGGATGTGATTTTGTTTTTCGGAACGCTTGTCTTTGCGTTTGCGTTTTTTAGCGTTTGGTGTATTTGGGGCGGGAGGTGCGTCGGGTAGGGCTGTGTCTGCGTCGTCGGGGATGGGCGCGTTTGAACATGTTGAGGTGTTTGGTTCGGCGGTCGCGGACGTCGTATGAGCCGTCTGGGTAGCTATTGGCGCCATATCGAGGGCGTGTGGGTGTGCGCGCGTCTTGACTTTTCGTGTCGCAGTGTTGGAGCTCCGAGGTATCTTGACGCGAAACTTTTGGCGGGGTTAACTAGCGCGGTTTCCTTACCTCCGGTCCTCGCGTCTCTGAAGATTCCGAGACAGTTGGTATTGAAGAACTTGGTAATCTGCTTTGGGAAGGTATGTCTTGATGAAGGTCGATGGGTTCTAGATCCCCGAGATGCCCGAAGTCTGCTACACGATATCGAGACTAAAGTTCAGTGTTTACTAACAAGAACTCGATAGATATTGAGCATCATCGTCATTACTTCCTATCAAAAGACCAGATACGACTGTTCAACGCCTTTGAACTCCGCTTTATCCATCCCAGGCCATTACTCATCCTTCACATCGTCATCGCAGGTCCACAAGTCCATGACTTATACAGTGTCTCAAGAATGGAAAACCTTCTCCAACCTCTCCAGCAAAAGATCCGCGTGATGCTTCTGGAAAATCAGCATAGGCCTCAACCGCACTGCCCTCTCTCCCGACCCCCCAATATTGACACCCTCACCCTTCGCCTTCCTGAGCACCTCATCCCTCCTCACACTATCAAACGCAATAAATGTGCCCTGTCCCTTCCCCCTCAGATTCTGAATCTCCTGCGGGAACCTCTCGCTCAACCTCTGCAGACCCGCAAAGAGATAATCCCCCGTTGCAGCAGTGTTGTTAACAAGATCCATACGCTTAATTTCTTGAATGATAGACCGGAAGAGTATAGCGCGCGCCGGATCACCCATCCAAGTATTAAACTGGCGATACGGTTTATTCGGCCTAAGCGCATTATCACCAAAGTAATACCCCGCCGTCTGTGCTTTCTTGCTGAAAGTAACCATATCAGGCGGCGCGTCCAACCCCCAGTGTTCATGCGCCCAGAACTTGCCGGTCGCGCCGACGCCCGTTTGCACTTCGTCGACGATGAGGAGGACGTTGTGTTTTTTGGTGAGGGCGCGCAGGCCGCGGAAGAAAAAGGGCGTGGCGTGGTTGTCGCCGCCTTCGGATTGGACGGGCTCGATTACCACGGCCGCGGGTGGGTTGTGGTAGTTTAGGAGGATGGATTCGGTTTCGTCGAGGCAGCGCTGTTCTTCTGCTGCGTTTTCGGCTTCATGTTCATGAAGGGGGTATTTTAGAACCGGGAAGGGGGCTTGCGGCCAGTCGAAGGCGGGGATGTCGAGCTTGTGGATGGGTTTGGAGCGCGTGGTTGATAGACTGCCGAAGAGGCGCCCATGAAACCCGGTCTTGAAAGAGAGGATGGACATGTCGGGTGCGCCGGGCGCTTTGTTGTTCATGGAGGAGGATATGTCTTCGGCGGAGAAGTCGGCGTCGATGCCGCCGCGTTGTTGTTGTCGCTTCCACATGAAGGCGGCTTTGTAGGCGAGCTCGTTGGCGTCGGAGCCGGCTTGCGCGGTGAAGACTTGGTTGAGGCCTTTCGGTGCGACGGATAGGATGCCCGTTTCGAGGATGTCGGCCCAGTCGTGCTGGGGGAAGTTTCCCAGTGCTGGTCGGTTGATGATGGCGGAGGCCATGTCGGGGGAGGTGGCGGCGAGGAGGAGGGATGGGTTGTTGTAACCTACGGGGATGGAGGCGATTTGGGCGTATACGTCGAGGAGGACGTTTCCGTCGAGGTCTGCGATGCTGGATGATGTCAGTCTATCTCCCTTGATGAATTGATGTAAGGCGTACTAGTTGCCATAGCTTTGCGAGTAATCGGCCATCATATTCAAGCTTCTGGTGTCGAACACCTTGCTTAGTCTCTCGATAGCCTTCTTGCTCTCCGGACCGGGTATTTGTGTCTTTACAGTAGGCTGGCGAGGCTCATCTGGGAAGAAGGAATGCTCGCCGCTCTCTGCAACGGCGGCTGCTGCTGCAGATGCATGTCTTTTCTGTGATGCAATTGGTGCTCTGGAAGCTGGACGAGCATTTGCGCGGAAAGCTGGGGCTCGAAGACGCCCAGCAGTGCGAGCGAGAGACGCCATCGTGGTCGTCGTCAGGACAGTTGTTGTCGGTAGAAAGATGGCGTACAGCTGTGTTGACACTGCGGGGAGCTAATGCGGGGAGACGCGACGCGTAGATGTAAGGTCAGCTAGGCCACACACAAACACGACGTATATCGAAGAAAATAGCAAGAGATGAAGAGATGGGGAGCTTCCCGATGAGTAAGAGCGATATCGCAACTTATAGCAATGCCAATCTGTTTATCTATGCCGTGATATCGCTGATAGAGCTCCATGGTCAACCGGCCCTAACCCGTTGCTATCCCCGCAAAAGCTCGTCCAAGCGAGCCCCTCCAAAGCTTGACCCACTTTCGAGCTTGTCTAAACCAACTCCAATCTGGCAATGTGATCCGCTACACGCTGCAGACGCCGTGCACGCCAGGTGCATCCATATACAGCCACATTGAAGGGCGTCTCTCGTACAACGGGTAATGCGGTGAAAAGCTCATGCTACCTCGTCAATCTGTCAAGGTACGCATCCGAGTCTCGCTTTCCTTGCTCATCCCCAGGATATACCGCAGCAAGACGATACCAAATATAGTTGGAGTCGTGCTATGAAAGCGGTTCGATGTTGCAGTCGAGCACGGCGCTTGTTACGATGATGGCGTCTTTCTTGCCCTGCATCTCCGAGATGAGGATACCGTCTTTATTCTGCGCGCAGATGGTCGCTTTGATCTTCGCACCGGTACTGCTGCCACCGTCATTTGGCTTTACATCAAGGATATACAGTTCATTGCCCGTTCCGGCCCGCGCATAGTGCATAAGGACGTTGCCGTTATGCCTCTCCTCTGTATGCCAGTCACGCCATTTGTCGTCCTGGTCTTGAGGCTCAAACCCGGCTTTGAGCTTCACAAAGTCAGCCTCGCTGATATTCACATCCCAAGACGTGGTATCAGTGCAGACTATGGGCTTCTTCGCATGTTGCCTCAATGTCGAGGGTACCTAGATCGTACTTTTGAGTCTGCGGCTAGGTACCGCTGAAGTAGATGAGATCTGCTTGGACCCTAATCGCGTCAGGCGTTGGCGGGCACTTCCGAAAACAACCTAATCTAGGTAGCGAGGCGGATAAGGCTGAGCGAAGAGGCCGCCCGCGGGCGGGTATGTTCGTATATGCTGATGCTGAAACTGAATGTCTCTTCATCCCTGATCATCTGGGCATGACGTGACGGGGCGAAGATCACGGCCTGTAGGTACGCGCGTAGACCTAGGTGTAAGCGCTGCAATTCTTCGCGACAAGACCTACGTCAGCTGGGAGGCACAGCATTACACGTTTCTTTCCTCTTCGAGAAGATTGTATTTCCGTGCCACCATCTTACGTCTTGGCTATCGAGACATGGAGTAGGCCTGTTACTGTAGTCACATCAAGTATCGTTCAAGGCAACTTTGGGGTCGTTCGCAAGAAGGGATGTTTCGCGGCTGGTGTTCGAAATTGGACGCCTAGCCGTCTTACTGTTCTTCCCCCGCGCGTTTTACTTTGACACAAATTTTACGAAGATTGGCTGACTCACATTCCTTAGCCCCTCGGACTGTCTGCCTGATTTCACAACTTTCATATACTTTCGTTTCAGTCCAGAGCGTTCTTGACCTCATAGCCTCTTCGGCGCGGCGTTCCATAGCTGCAGGGCGTTATTACCGACAGGAACGCAGGGCAGTCAGCAAAGGGATACACAGAAGGCACCGAAAGTCATGGAGAGCTATGGATGAAGAAAGTTGCATTCCGATCAGGAAGCCGTTAGATGCCTGCGCATGCCAACCTAGGACAACTCTGAGCACACTAGAGCCCACA